GATATCTGCTGACTCTGCTTACGGAAAATGATATGTCTGGACGCGTTACTACTGCCAGGAACATGAGGCATCCTACTGCTTCTCTATAGGGTGTAGTATTCATGTTTTCTTTTTCTTCATCATTCTGAGGAGACTGGTCTGCATGAAGAATCACATTCGGATCGGCTGGTACTGCATTCGATTTAGAATCTAACATTCTGAATCTTTCCAAACACCGCTGTATATACCCTCGTTGACTGATGAAAATGTGTTTTCGGCTTCTATCGCGTCGTATTTCCATTCCAACATAGCATTCAGCGTTACTCACAGTGATTTCAAAACATGAAGTCAACTTTTCTAAAACCAAATTGATGACATTTGCTGACTTACACATGACAAGTCCGTCATCAACATACAGGGCGAGAAAAATGACTTGTCTTTCGATTTCTGCAACGAAGACACATTTATCTGCTTCTATTTGTTTGAAGTGGAAGGATGTTAGGAAGGAAACAAATCTGTAGTTCCAACAGCGGGGAGATTGTTTCAAACCATATAAACTTTTCCTTAGTCTGCAAACCTTTGAATTGTCCTTAGATTCGAAGCCCTTGGGTTGATCCATGTAAATTTCTTCATGTAAATCACCGTAAAGGAATGCTGTTTTAACATCAAATTGTTGAATTTCCATATAATTTTTCGCTGCTAGTGCTAGTAATATCCTTATTGAGTCATATCTAACGACAGGTGAAAAAGTTTCTGAGTAATCAATACCAGCTACTTGAGAAAACCCCTTTGCGCACAATCTCGCCTTATAACGTGCGATCGTTCCATCTGGTTTGCACTTCACCTTGAAAACCCATTTGCACCCGACTGGTTTTCTGTTTTGTGGCAAAGGAACCAACTCCCATGTTTCATTTTTCTTCAAACACTCGATTTCTTCTTCCATTGCCTTTTTCCAGCAAGATCTTTCATGACTCGTCACAGCTTCTTCATAAGTTCGAGGTTCATTGATGGCTGCACAGGCAAACTCATATCTGGATGGGCGATTAATTTTTGTACGATCTCGAAGTTGACGACCTTGATTCCAATTTCCATCGTGATTTGTATCTTCTACGCCATCATCTTGACTGATTTCGTCTTGTATCAGGACCTGTTCTGTTTCAGATGTTGAATCTTCTTGAACTATTCCTGATATTTCTGGCGCTCTGGAGGAACAGGGACCATCGTACAAGAAGACTTCATCGGCATTACTGCTTATGGGTGGACTTTTCAGACACTTTTCGTTGAAGACCACATCTCGTGCGACAGATATTCTATTTGTTTTAGGATCAAATAGTCGATAATTTGAACTATTACCGTCATAACCGACAAAAACTAGGTTTCTCGATTTGTTTTCAAATTTGGTTCTCAACTGCTTCGGCACATGGGAAAATGATTGGCTACCGAATTTCTTCAAGTGACTGAGTTTGAGCTGTTTCCCAGTCCACATTTCGAACGGTGTTTTGTCATTATTTTGTTTGCAGGGTCTTCTGTTGAGAATGTATACCGCTGTATTCACTGCCTCTGCCCATAATGATTTTGGTAGAGAAGTTTCATTCAGCATCGCTCGAGCACTATCAACAATCGATCTCAGGTCCCTTTCGGCTTTGCCATTTTGTTCTGGCGTATATGGTGCACTAGTTTCGTGAATTATACCGGTTTTCTTGAAGTAATCTTCGAAACTACGATTCACATATTCCTTGCCGTTGTCAGTGCGAAGAATTTTGATGTTGTTTCCAGTCTGCCGTTCAATAAGCTTCTCAACTTCCAGAAACTTCGAAAAGACGTCGGATTTGTGTTTGATGAAATAGACTTGGCGGTAGGAGGTACACTCATCCTTGAATAAAACGAAATATTCCGCACCACCCAAAGAAGTTGTAGTCATTTTGCCACATACATCAGAATGGATGAACTCGCCTTGCTTGTATTGATGAGGTGTACTCTTACTGAATGATTTTCTCTCTTGTTTTCCATATTGACATGATTCGCAGAAGAGTCCAATAGAATTTTTGATTCTGAGATCAGGAATTTGTCCTCGATCGGCCATTTCCTTCAGTGTTTCAAAGTTCACATGTCCCAAACGCTCGTGCCACAGTTGGATGGGATTTGTTTCAGCTATATTGACTTGATCTATGGTTGGCATTTCGAAAAACATTTCATAGCAGTGGTTGGGTTGTTTCATTCCAAGAGCAGATAGATTTTCTTCAAAATACACTTTTATGAACTTTCTGTCGAACATGACTTTGAAGTTTTTATCTGTCACTGCTCCCACTGAAAATAAGTTCTTGCCGAGTTTCGGAACATACAGGGTGTTTTCAAGAGAACGTAGTTCCCGACGACCATCGATTACAGCAAAAACTTTGATGCAGCCCACAGCTTCGGCATATACGAAAGAGTTATCGCCAATTTGAATGGGTGTTGGATGAACCAGAGACTTGAGATCGGTGAACCATTCATGATGAAAAGTCATGTGTTTCGAAGCTGCACTGTCTGCAAGCCAAATATTTTCACAACCCTCTATATTGATGTTCTTTTCTTCTGCACTGAACGCTTGAAATTTCTGCACTTGTTTGTCTTCCTCTGCTTTACTGGCTATTTTCGCCAACCTTTTTCTACATTCTGCTTTCACATTACCTCTCTTCCGGCAATAGCAGCAGAATGGTATTTGCTTCTTCTTGAATTGTGGTTTATCAGAGGTAGTGCTACTTTTTTCGACTAGGACCTGGTTTATTTATGTTGACAGCAGCGAAGGCTGAAGTCATTTCATCAGCTTGGGTCAGCCGTAACTCTTCTTTCAGTAACCGTACGGTTAGATTGTCGAAGGTTTGCTTATTTTCTTCAAAGGAATCCCATGCTGAAATGAACGGTCCGTACTTTGGTGGCAAACTGCCTAAAACTTTGGCTATTCGGTCGATATCTTCAACCTCTTCTCCAACATCACGAAGTGCTTGCGCCATCGACTCGATTTTACTGATATGTTGGGCAATACTATCAGTACTAGCCATTTGATGATTGAAGAATTTCTGCTTCAGCGTTACTTTGTTGACTGCAGATCGTTGCTCGTGAATTATTTTCAATCTTGACCACATTGCAGGAGCTGTTTCGCACGTCATGATGGTTTGTAATTGTTCAAATTCCATTGATACTGATATAAGAAGCATGGCTCGGGCATTCATTTCTTCCCATTCCTTCTTGATATTCGGCTCAGCATCAAGGGCAGGACGTTCAGATTTCTCAGTGAACAAGATTGACAAGCCTTCAACTTTGAATATGATTTCCATTTGATATTTCCACAGCTGGAAGTTTTGACCATTGAATTTCTGAATATTCAGATTCCTCATCTTGTCCATGGTTTATTCGCTGAATTGGAGCCTCTGAATTACAGGGATCAGCGAATTTTCACACTGACAGTGACACTGGTGAGTTCTTGGATTTGGATTATTCAAAAATACACTGGGCACACTTCTTTATCTTCAGTTTTCGTAATCTGGGCACATAACCTCTTGTGAGTTATGAATTACAGGAAAATACTCAAAGTGAATGGAGCTTTAATTATTTTATAAAACATAAAACAATGTACTAACGATATATATCAATAATAAATATATCACCTAAGAAACCCATAAGGTAAAATATACAAAGTGAACATAGTATTAACAACAGAAACAATTTAAAAAGAGGTTCTTGAATGATATTGAGTACCTAAGGTATATTTTGAGCATAATTTTTAAGAGTACCTATTTTCCCATAAACATTTCACTATTAGAAGGTGAATGAAAGGTGAATAAAAGGTGAATAAAAGTACAATGTTTGGACGAATTGTTTCATTAAAAATGAATATCTGTGTCGCCCAGAATGTACATCTTCATTTTTTCCTTTCTGGAGAAGGAGAAGCTCCAAAGGCTATCCTGAAAAGACAATATGATGTAGCTCTTGAGTTTAAAAATTTTAACTTGTAGTTTTTCCTTCAAAATGTTTTCTAGTACCTCATCAAGATTGTCATTCTCCTTTTTACTTTTTGTTTCAGTGTTTTCACTTTTATTTGCAATAGAATAGGCCTTCTCGAATGAAACAGTTTGCGGGTTACATTATCAATAAATTTTGAAACTTGGGAGCTGGCTGGAAGTTGTGGCAAATCAATGTTCACATGAAAAACATCGTCCTCAGAATTCAATTTATGAACATCCACACACACATCCACAGAAACATACTAAAAATAAATTACTGTAGTTTGTATAAGAATCTAAACAGTTTTCATCTTACCCATGAAGGACAATTTATGTTTGTCTTGCTTGTTTTGCATCCAAAGGCAACACAATATGAATAACTATAGTTTGTTAATTGGGAATCACAAACCTTTTCGATTACAATCAATGCACAACAGTAAATTCAGTCCATTTGAAGAAACAAAACACGCAAAATTTAGCGATATTTCACATAACAAAATACAATGAAGTTCTGTCTTCACTTTTTCTGTCTGTTCAGATAAAAGAAAAAGATCTCAAGTACTCCAATTATTGGATAAAAGAATATTTTTACACCAATCCGCCATTAAACAACACGAGTGTGGCAGATTATCGAAACACAAGCTATCTTTGTTGCAGCTGCCCCTGACACACTGTGCTATTCGAGAAAACGGCAGTCTCCCTTCCAGTTGTTTACATTGAGTTCAATGATTGTTATGGAAGAGTTAACGGCTGCCCTTAAACAATCTTAACGGACGGTGGCGGTTAACATTAACTTTTCAATTGTCATTCGAATACCGTTAAATCAAAATAACAGTATGGGATCACGAAAAAGAGAATATAAGAAGCTTAGTTTAACCACTCACTTTTACTACAGTGCGATAAGAAGTTGAGGGTGAAAGAGTAACTTTTTTTTTCTGTATAATGATCAAGCCATCAGTTTTTCTTATGAACTAAATATTACCAAAATTTTGTGATTTCTTCAAAACATGTGTCTATGATAAAATCTTTTTATTTCAGTAAATTCATTAGTCTGGATTTTGAAGGGAAGCTCTGGATGATATGCAGTCTCACTTTAATTTATTTTTCTATTGATTATGACACTTTATTGGAAGAAATACTTGTATTGGATGATGAGAATACACAAATACTTGCTGCTACTAAACCAAATGAATTGGGGGAATCCTTCTTACAGTTGCTAAATGAAGGTTTGTACTGAATTATTCACCTATACTACCTACAAACTAAATCAATGGAATTGGAACAATATATTTTCAATTAGTCATAGTTAGATGACTCCTCAGTGTATTTTGGAAAATTCATCATAAATCACAATGTTAATTCTTTCAAAAATTAATTAAAAAGTAATTTCTGAACAATGTTAATTGACGACGTTAGCCGAGGACCAGTACACGACATAGGCCATCGATATTTTCAACAAAAAATTGTTTCATACATACCAGGTGTCCAGAAACTTTTCATACAGCCAATATCTCAGTTATGCTGTTTGGAAAAAAAATTCAAATACTACACTTGTCAAACCCGAATGAATGACGCCAGTGTTTCAAAGTCAACTTCTTTCAAAACTACCCCTGAAAAACCACCTCCAATTTCTATTTTTCAAGTTACATCATATACATTTTTTATTGATTATTGAAGTGCAATCAATTCTGACTCCACCGATGTATCACACTTGATATTTCGACATACATGATACTTCCAAAATTACAAAATTCGAAGGTGAATTATCACGTGTGATACATCGTTGAGGGTAGAATTGATTGCACTACACATGTAGTGTAGTGTAACTTGAAAAGATGAAGTTGGGGGTGGTTTGGTAGTTTGACAGAAATTGACACAATGGCTTCAAAGTCATTTGGGTTTGACAAAAATGTAATTTTTTCAAATTTTTCTCCTAGCAGCATATCTGAGATATTGCCTGTATGAAAAGATCTTTGGCTATGTGAGTCTCCTCATGAATCACCCTGTATACATATAAAAATTGTTGAAACATACAATTTTCATATTGGAGAGAAGAATGAACTTCATATAACTGGTCTCTAATAGAAATAAAAATCACACTAGGTAGGTATTTATAGTCTCTCCCATAAGTGTGCTCAGGGTGTTTATACAGGGTGACTGTAATTCGAGCATTGTGATCTTGGTTATCTTGAGAGATACGATATGTTCTAATTAGGACAAAGTTGTGCATTCTGGTGCTGATCAATAATCTGAAAAGAATTCTGACCTAGTGTTCTTAGTTTTCAAGATATCGCCAAAAAACTGAATTTAGAGATTTTCCTTTTCATTTTTTTTTATAGGAAAATCGATCGAGTCATCCATTTTCAACGGAAATTTTCTCGAAACCGTTATTTGCGAGAAATTCGAAAATGATATCACATTTTTTTTTAACACAGGTAGAAAGAAACAAACGACAACCCTATTTTTTTCTTTTGAATGCCATATTGAATTGATCCAATAGACCATTTTACGCTGAGCGAGGCTCTTTTTTTGATATCATTACTTGTTTTATTGGCAGCACTGAAGAGCAATCAGTTTTAACTTCAGCAATGTATCACACTTGATTTTTCGACATACATGATACTTCCAAAATTTCACAAAATTCGAAGGTAATAGTATCAGGTATAGATCATTTCAGTAAATTTTATCGTTCCGATTTTACTGAAATTCACTGGCAACATTTTAGCGGGTCATAGCAAGAAACCCTGTTAGACGCTAAAAGTTTACTGTTACCACAATCGAACTGGAAGACCACACAGTGGCAGTAAACGCTGAAACTGCCACTAATCTACAAGATGGTTTGTGATACTCACTTTTGATATAAAATATTTCACAGCTATGCTTCATTTCTTCATCACTGGGACTATATAGAGGTACTAGAGCTTGGCGTTTCTGATGAATCAGAATCACTATCGGATAATATGTCTTCTAAGATGACATGATTAATCACTCCATCCATAATTTCAACGTGAGTAAATAAATCAATAATAACAATGATGGATATAAAAACCAACAAAACATCAAAACTCGAAAGATCTAAAGGTTATGGTTATGTTTTGCTGCCAGTGTACCAGTAATGTCAAAATTGTTCCGAAATGAGATGAAAATGCAATGCTAATTGTTGTCATGTCAAGCAAATGCTAGTTGGATTTCAAATTCAAAATTTCGAATTTTTAATGGAATTCGTACATCTGTGAAATTGACAAAGAAAAAGCAGATACAAATGTGTGATAACCGTTGAAAGAAACAAAAACTTATCATTGCATGAGCTCCCAAGAAATATTCAGAAAAGGAGAAAGTGGATAAAACTTATTGTGGAATCGAACAAGGGTTTGAAAGAAAATCAAACTACATAGGACCAAACAAAAATTGAATGTATAAATAATAATATTCAACCACCTGTTTCTGAATCAAATAGAATAGAATAGAATAGAGCTTTATTTAGCATCGATAGCTAATACATAACCATACATGAATATTACACATTCGATATACAGTGTGACTCATTTAAGATGGAAGCACCCTTATAAAACTTACATTTTTCAACCGATTGGAATGATTTTTTTTGTTAGGTAGATATTCAAAAAGTCTATTAGGACACCAAATATCATGAATAAATCTCCATTTCCAGGGCCAACTAATCTGATTTTTCAAGGTCAAAAATCTAAAAAAATTACTAGCGATTTTTTTAAAAAAAATCTGACTACACCACTGGATTTGTGACATTTTCAAATGGGTAATATGTAAATTACGTTGAAATGCGTCAATCAATAAAAAAGTTATAGAGGAATGAAATTTGAAAAATATGCCGTTTAATCAACCCACCAATTCATGTTCAGGAATTTTATGAAAATTCTGTATACTCCACTGGATTCAGGATGTCTTGAAATATTACTGATCACAGTTTCATCGAAATCTGTTCAGTAATAAAAATTGATGGGTTGATTAAACGGCATATTTTTCAAATTTCATTCCTTTATAACTCTTTTATTGATTGACGCATTTCAACGTAATTTACATGTTACCCATTTGGAAATGTCACAAATCCAGTGGTGTAGTCAGATTTTTTCTAAAAAAATCGCTAGTAATTTTTTTAGATTTTTGACCTAGAAAAATCAGATTAGTTGGCCCTGGAAATGGAGATTTATTCATGATATTTGGTGTCCTAATAGATTTTTCGAATATCTACCTAACAAAAAAAAAAATCATTCCAATCGGTTGAAAAATGTAAGTTTTATAAGGGTGCTTCCATCTTAAATGGGTCACACTGTATATCACAAATAAACAATATAATCTATATATTAAAATACATTTTTCTCAATCTTGTTTTGAAAATTCTTACATTTCCTGATCTCTTAACTAGAAGAGGTAGATCATTATACATTCTCAAACCTTCAATGAAGAGAGTTTTTTCCAAATAATTTAAGTTGAAACCTTGTATGTAGAACTGATCATTGAACCTCAAATTATAATGTATCATATCTGCCCTTTTGATTATGTATTTTTGCAAGTAGGAAGGAGCTTGCTTATTGACAATTTTGAAAATTAATACCAAAGACGACTCTACTCTGGATATGGTTCCTGGCAAGAAATTGAATTCAGTGATGGTGGATCGAATAACCTTTGTACAAAATCTGTTTATGAATTGAACTATCTACAATAAAATACAATATTAGATTTTTTCATAGAAACCTCTACTTCACCTTTCAATACATTATATGCAGGTTGTACTGTTCCATAGAACATAAGGATTTTCTTAACTTTATTCGACTTAAACATCCTAGTAAAGTAGAGTTCATAAACGGCAAAAAGTGCTCTCTAAACAGTTTTCGTGTGCAACGTTTTGGAAACTATTTTAAACTCTCACCTACCATACCATGATATGAAATCAAGAGGTCAAAAAATCGTCCATGCAGGAGGAAGGGGAATAATAATAATAATATCAATATTCCTTCCATCTTAATAATAATATCATTTATTTACAAGAGAATATAATTAAATAGAACATTTTACAAAAAAAAAACAATTAATGATCTAGGTACTCGATAAGTGACCAAACACTTGTTTCGAAAAGGTAGAATAAAAATATGGACAACAGCACTTACTAATACAATAAAGTTGAGGTAATTCCTGATTATGAAATTCGATATAACGCAACTATATAAAAAACATGTAATATAAAAGTAATGGGAAATCCCCGTCTTACCTACTTTTCAAAGTTTAAATAAAAAATGAATACAATAGGTATCTAACAAATGATAATATAAAATGAAATGGTGAGCAACTATAAGTATGAATTAAAATTGAAATAGGTATTTATTAGTAGACTTATGTGAGTATCACACAGACATTTGCATATCAAAACACATAGTGGATGAATGAATGAATGAATGTTCAATTTAGTGATTTTTCAATTAATTCACTGAATTTAAATCTCGATGTTTCGTGAACAAATTTTCTCAATTTATTTTTAAAGTGATTGATATTCATCAAACTCTTAATGTCCTCAGGAATCGTATTTTTTATGAGTATGATTGCTGACAAACTAATTGTTGTTGTTGTTGTTGTTGTTCTAAAATTGTTCTATCCGTCATTCGGTTGCCCCCTTACGAGCAACCCTCAAAAGTCTTCGAGAGTCTTGTGCGAGCAAGGAATGACGGGGGCCTTACCTTTTAACGTGTGATCCCAAACACTTTCTTGGGCCATCAGAAAAATTTCTGCAGTCGACGGGACTCGAACCCACGACCGGCAAGCGAATGCGGATTAGAATATGGACACTCTGTCCGCACGGCTACCTGGCCACCCAGGTAATCATAATCAATAATCAATGGAATAACATGATAATGTCTATGTCTAGTTTCATACTTGTGATCGAGTCTGTTTACTTGATTTATCATCACATTAAAATAATAAAGTTGCCTCATGTCTTGGTATAATAAATCAGAAGAATATCTATGAGATTTTCCTAGAACAAGTTTCAGAAATTGTCTTTGTATAACCTCGAGTGGATTGATATGTGTGCGCACCGCCCCGCCCCGCCCCATCCTACAATTCCGTATCGTAGGTGGTTTTCCACTAGAGCAAAATATAATATTTTCATGTGGTACAGAGATTGAAATTTTTTGGGGAACCTGAATTTATATAAAATGAACTGGAGTTTTTCAATCACGTACTGTATGTGTACGTT